GGACTTCTCTGATCTCATGTATTTCAGATCAAGTTTTATGCAGCTGATTTGGGGGGGGTATGTTAAATATTGCTTCACTTTCCTAATGGGTCTGGACCTATAGTAATGAACAGCAAAAGGGAACTACTATTAACATCTCACTTTCAGCTTCTCTTTGCATTTGAGCCAATTTCTGGAAGGCAAGGGCGAAAAGAGGGGAGAAGCAGCAAGTCCAGTGTCTGCTTTCCTACTTCGTCAAACTTTGAAAATTCTTTTATATGCAGGAGTAGAAATCAAAGTAATACACACAAACCCCCATGAGTCATCCCTTTATTTTCTAGTTACAAACATCCTTGAGCTACAGATATTAAGGCTAAGAGTGATACTCTTGCAGTAGGTTAAGTCTGAAGCCATCAGTAATGAAGATGGCTGTTATGCTTCAGAAAACTACACAACAGAAAACCACACAGAAATGTATAACTTAAGGAGAGATGTACAAATTCCATGGAAAATACTAACCTGCACCTGTGAAGCTAGAGACATCTGCTAACTGTCTATCCAGAATGCATAAGACTGCTGACGTCTATTCAGACAAAGACAAAGAAAGTAATTTGTAATTCGATATTTCCACTTTAGGTCTTAACCCTGTGGAGATTCACAGTATGAGTAACTTTAATTACTGAGACAGTGGCATAGATAGGGAAGGGAAGAAAGAACTGGAAGCATTCAACTAGTCGCATTCAAGGCCCTGAATTGATTAATATTTAAAAAATTTATTAAAACTGACAGTACAGAATAAAATCAAAGGCACATGTTAGTGATTGTGGGCTCATGGTCACAGCTCAAAATGAAAACAGGTCCTCAAAAGCTAATGCTAACAATGTTTTCATTTGTAACTGATTCATTTTTTATTCCCTCAGTGTCCATGACACAATTAAAAACAAAAAAAATCCCCCTCCACAAAACAGATGCGAAGGTTGCTTTTTCCCACATCATTACAGTCTTTCCAAGAAGGCTGTGACTAACCTCACCAGGCAACAAGCAGAATTATTAGGATCTCTTGAGTATCAAATGCTATAAAAGATACTTTGTCTTACCTTTCCATTTCAGTGAATGAAGAGCTCTGTTTTGTAAACAGTTATGCAAATGCTTTTCTACACCACCACCCCCAAACGTCTCACTGACTTAGACAAAACTTTAAGCAACTTTATACCCAAGTTCATCTATGGGCACAACAGAGGGAAACCCAGCAGTCACTCAGGGCTGCAGTAACAGATTAAGTTCTTGGCAAAATGTAAAATTCAGATGACAGAAATCATCTATCTTGAGATCTAGGGTGAGAAACTGAAATTCCCAGGTATCAGGGTTAAATCAAGATTTGTAGGAAACTATGAGAAATTCAGCGTGTTGGATGAATCAGAGTCTAACTCTGGAGTTGAAATAAAAATGACAGCAGTTACAGCCCTCCCTGAAAGCAGGGATTCCAGTTTTCGGTAATGCATATCATTTAATATTGGAAAAACTAGAGAAGTAACACTCAAAGAAAGAAATTCACTTCTTAGTCCTTTTCTTTTTTTCCTTTCAATGTGAAAATTCAATATATAACTGCACTGTTAGTTTAGTTACCACTGGTATTTTTAGTGAGTTACAGTTTTAGTGGGTATTGTGTAAGTATGGTCCTACTAGGAGGAAAAAGGGTATTTCGGGCATCATGCCGCGCTCTGTACCACAAAACTAATACTAAGGCTTCAAAAATCAGTTAAAAGCCATCCAAACGCAAGCAGTTGATTAGCCTCCTTAGGAACCTAGCTCAGGACTAGAACTATAAAAACTCTGAATCTGTATGGACAGCGGGGACACAGAACCAGATGCTGTTAAGTGAGAAAACAAGAAGAAATCCTGTTTGCAAAAGAAATGTGAGAAACAGACCTATCCACAAGCAGAATGCACACACCTCTCCAAAGCACCTTTCCAATTCTCTTTGAATGAAGACTTTAGGATCAGGCCACAGACGCTGTACTGTAACACAGCTCTGAGGTGTTAAATGTCTTTTCTTTCTGGTCACCAGCCCCGCAGCAGAAAGAGAAGTCTGGAGAGGTTACAAACCACAGGACTCCATTTTTCTGTCTGGCACAGCTGAAAGCAAGAAAATCTCGTACCTTTGACCAGTCATTCACCTTTCAAGAAGAGAGAGTGATGCACGAATTGTAATTAGAAGTAGAAAAGCAACAAGTGCTAGACACTGAAATCAAAGTTACCAAGCACTTTATTAAAGTAGTCTTCATTGTGTGGACTTGAAGTCTTCTGTTATCTCACTGCAGTAGCTGAAAAGTTCTTATAATCTGTTTTGACCCTCAGGGCAATTATTCAACTTCAGATGTTTAGATTTTAATAAACTTTCACCCATAGGGGAAAAAATGCAGCAGTTAACATGACGGACTTGCCATTTATAGCTAGACTATGGACAGAAAAAAATCAATCATATTTCACAAATTTAGTTTTTGCCAAGTGCAAAGCTTCTGTATTTTTTTCCGTCTGCGCAGTCACAGCAGAAGGAAGTATCTTTAGATCAATCTTGCCCTCTCTATTATCATTATATATAACCCAGCACCTAATCACTGTTGGGTGTTGTGGGAAGTTACTGCCTTCCAATTAAATCTAATGGGATGCTTTGGCTGCTTTCAAAATTACACGCACTCAGAAACATTCATTCAGAGCTATGAGAAGGCATAACTCAATAATGCAGCCATTTTGAGTATGTGACAATACAAGCCAGTTGTACTATGAAAGTCCAAATCCACTGCTACTTCCACAGCCTCTCCCAGTAAATGCAAGCAGCAGCCTCAACCTGCTTCTGTGGAGCCTTGACGATACCTGTATGCTAATAATGCTACACTCACAGTGAACTGTGAATCAAGATGAGATCTGCTGTGTCTCCCTTACACCTTGGAAACCCTGTAAGCTCTTTGCAGTCCCCACTGCTCACTGAGAGGAAACAACCAACCCATTTCAAGTCCAGCCTTGGAGAGGACCACTTCTCCAAGGGCAAGGGTTGCAGCATTGCCATGGGTACTCCATGGAAAGGTCACACAATGCTGACTCTGTATTTCCAGTTACTAACAACAAAACCAGTCATTTTTATGTTTTCCCATGCAAGCAACTTTTGTAGCTGACATACAGATGTTGCACCATCGCAAACAAGAAGACAGTCAGTCAGAAGGGAGGAGGACCACATTTTTGATGATGAAGGAGAAGCCCGATTAAAACATGATCTACACTGCAAAGGCCCACGAGATCTATCATTTGGTTAATATTTCAGCAGACACAGCACAGAGCAGTAATACTTTTATCTTCAGTACTTCACTTAAGTAAACAAACCTGACTCCACCAAAGGTCATACTGCTGCATGTCTATAACTCTAGAGGGTACAGGACCCACTAGCCAAGGCAAAGCACAGTTTCTAAATGGAAGGGTTGGTTCACAAACATCTTTTTCAACAAGAAAAACGTGTACCACCCTTCTCTTGCCTGCTACTAGTGGGCTTAAACTAGGGTTTAGTAGAAGCTGCAGTGCTTTTCACAGATACAGTGCAGACCTACCGAGGTTACAGGGGGGGTTGGAGCACCTTACACCACACCACAAATTGCCATAAACCTATTTTCCACTGCGTGTCCAGATCATCCTTCGTGTGCTGGCACGATGCGTAAGGGAACACATGTCATGGCGATGCGAGGGGCAGAAAGGGGAAGAACGCTAGGAAGAGTTATCAGACAGAGGGAAAGGGCTGAACAGTGGAGAAGGAAGACAGCAGGGCAGAGCACCGAAGAGACAAGGGCATGCAACAGGATTACCCCACCTGAAAGCTGCCCTTTGCCATCTACCAGCAATACATGCCAGTTTCGGAAAAGCCAGCTTAACCGCCGGAGAAAAAATACCAGAATAAGGACAGAAAGCCATGTCATCTGGTAGAAGGTGAGGCAGGAGGAGGAAGAGGAGGGCACAGGCGCGGACGTTGCCCTTCCTGGGCAGCGACGGGGCTCCTCACCCTGCCGCCCGCCGGCGGGAGCCCGGAGGACAAGATGCGAGCAGGTGCGGCGGCGGCTCGCGTCACCGCGAGGGGGGAGAAGGGTACACGTACCCCGATACATCCCCGCACACACCCTGGCAGAGCTGCCTGGGTGCGAAGCCACGGGGGGCAGGGAAAGGCTGCAGCAGAGAGCGCCGTCCCCGGCCGCCGAGCCGGGCACAGCCCGGGGGCCCGGGAGGGAGTTTCTCCAGGGCGCCATGCGGGCTGTGGGCGCTGCCCGGGGTGCGGGGCCGCCGCGCCGCTCCTCCCGCTCCTCCCGCGGTTTACAGAGCGCTCACGGAACGCAAAGGTACCGATTGAGAGCTGCCCCCCCGAGCTGGATTGACATGCGGGAGTTGTTTAAAGTGATCATAAGCGTTCATCAAAAGAAAAGAAAAGAAAGCCACACACAAAACCTACCAAAGCTCCAAAGCAAAATCCTTCCCAAAGAAGTAGGTGTACGTAAACCACCTTTGGAACGAGTGGGCTGCGAGAACAAAAGTCTCCCGTCCTCACTCGAAATCCCAGATGAAATCTCCCAGCTGTTTATGTTGTTTCCATCTGGCACCACATTCCTCCTGATCCTGACAACTTACACGTGGCTTTCACTCAGCACAGGGGAATAGTCCCATGCACAGATAATATTGGCATGCTTACAGGTAGCCAAAGTCCTCACACTATGCCGTTGCCACGCTTGTGATTTCTATAACGAGCCACTTCCACTCCTAAAATCGGGCTGTTGCCTGAGAATCTGTTTTCACTGATTTCACTTTCAGATCAGTTTTTGTCTTTTTTGACTCCAGAGAAAAGCTAGAAAACATAAATCTTTCAACAGCGTTGGACAGATGAAAATAAACCCCTTCAGGTAGTATATAGGAGAGCTAATCTGATTTTTGAGGCTCCATTCCTGATTTTTTTATAGGATTGAATTGCCAATCCTGAAAGATTTACAAACCTGCTCAAGTATATACCCGAGTTTCCTTCCAGGCTTCACTGAGATTCCTCACAAAGATCAAAATCAGATCTAGACCAACCACAAAGACATTTCTAGGACTGAGCCACGGTTATCCACACACAGCAACAGGTCCTTTATGCCACAAAGTTTCTGTGATTCCAGGCCCCCTTCAAGAAACCCGAGGAGGAAAAGTATAAACTAATGAAAGAGCAGCTGCTTGCTGAAATTTCCACTCAGTTCCAAGAAGAGAGACTTGGCAGATCCTTGCTTTTCGTAACACTCCGTGACTCATTTGCAGAGGCAGGTGAAGTCAGAGCCATCACTGCCAGAGTCGTGGCCCTGACAGCTTCTCCAGGAAGGACATGAATTTTCCTAAACACTTTTTTAAAATGAAGAAAGGAAGATATCGCTCAGCTACTGTTTGCAGCAGTTTGGTTGTTGAATCTTCTCAAGTGGTGCTAGTCGATCCTTGACCTGGTGTTTTCCAGCAAATCTTTCTAAGAATAAGGTCTTAGGTCTGCAAATTGGGTTATTTTTCCAGGCTCCCTGGTAGGTTCAGAGCTGAAGGCAGTGGGCAGCAGGCAGGCATGAAACTCACTGCGGGCTCCCAGAAGCCAGACAGGAGAGTGTAACCCGACCTTGCAGATCAGGCTGGGAGAGGTGGGGCCTCACTCCACAATCCCTTAGGAATTCACCTTAACCCTGCTTCAAAAAAATTAAAAAACACCTTAGAGAAAAAGAAAAGCAGTTCAGCCAACTTCCTCTTCCTGACTCTGAGCTGCCAAAGCCCCTTATCACGCTGCATCTTCTAATGGTTCTGTCTCTGCTACTTTTTCTGTTCCAGAGAGTCCTCCATGAAACAGGAAAGTGAAAAAAAAATTTGTGAAATAATGGGGGGAGGAGAGCGTTGAGTCCACTTCAAAGAAATGCGTAGATACCATACACTTATCTTGTTAACAGGAAGTTTGTTTCCAACAAACCTTCAAACCTTAAAAGAATCAGCTTATGGAGAGGTTGCCTAGGTCATTAATGCGAATGAACGCTTGCAGAAACACTGACATCTAAACCGACATTTCCAAACTTCGTGCCAGTCGCCATACACATGCTCCCTAGGTAAATAATAATAGTAATTTATACATCAAATTGTTTACCCCATGAGAGGTGGAAAGGAATATGATAGGTGCTGTTAAAGAAAAGCTTGGGGACTACTTCAGTCCTTGGCAGGGATAAACAGTGCCTCTATTCCCTCTTCTTTCCAGGATAGCAGCCCAAGACCACCCCCTGCTCCAGTTCCCTCTAAGGACAGAAGACAAATGCAGAAGACCACTACGGGCTGATATTTCTGTTTGTTTTTATTGGGGAAAAAAATATTTAAAAGGAACAGAGATGATAAAGAGAAACATGGAAAGAAAGTGTGACATGAGGATGAGAAAAGGGAAACCAGAAGAATAAATGAGAGAGAGAAAGATTTGGGGAAGAATACATTCAGTTTCTGTGCTTTACCAAATTTTCTTCAGGATGTGTACAGTAGATATGGACATCTATAAAATTATTTTATATGACTATGGATCTAATATCACTGCAGATAGGAAAGTGGAACATTGTAACACAGGTGATGAAGAAAACATTTCAGCAATGTTTTTCTGTTTGGGGAAAAGACAAAATGTGCCGTAGAATTTTCATCTGCTGTAGAATAGCCTAAATATACTTTCCGTGCTGGGAACCTGCAGAATGACTTACACACAACGAACGATTTACACATACAGCCGTCTGGCAGTCACAGCAG